AACTCCTTGAGGAATCCTGAAAAAAACCTACGATGACGGGCCAAGCGGGAAGGGGGAGGGTGGGAGGGGTAGGCGAGGGGGGGTGCAGTTGACCGCCCGAAGCCCTCAACCCTTTACCAAAACCCTAATGGTGGCGGTAGCGGTAGCAGCAGTGGGGCTAGCACGCTAGTACTCGGCTTTCTTTTTGCCGAGTTTGCAGTGGTGGTGGGTTTGGGCTTGGCTCGTCGTGACCGATCCCTGATGTCGGCCCCCAGCATTGCAACTCAAAGATAGCTCCTGCCTCCCCCTCCGTAATGATGTGCTGCCCCGGCACGAAGGTCTGTGGCTTCAAGCAGCTGACCAGCCTCGGTTGTCGAAGTCATGCATTCGGCCGTCTTGTGCAGGAGAAACCGGCTCTGCAGACCAAGGTGTTTTTCCGCTTGTCGAAATCGCGAGGCTTCGGCAGCTTGACATCTTGTGCAGCCATACCGAACCATGACACTGCTCGGCTTTGCCGAGGCCAGCATCAAAGCTGGGGTGTGACTAGGCGGCGCTTCTGCACACCAAACCCGTCGAATGACTGAACCGTACATTATCGGGGATGCTGAGTGAAACCAGCATTTGCGTGCCTTCGGCAAGAGAAATGCACCAGGATGAAATGTAGACCTCTGGCATAGACAGCTTTGAATCCGCTTACCACAGCTTGAGACTAAAGATACTGTCGTGCCAAGACAGCATGCATGTAAGCACAACGGTGCTTGGATGCGTCCGGGACACAGATCCTAGCCATGGATCTTCGAGTCCTTGGAAAAAGGCCGTCTACACGATGAACTGTATGTGCGAGGCAGAACAAGTTGGTAGTGTCACCTGAAAGGCGTTGCAAGCCCAGCCGCGACCCTTTCAAACAACTTCACGTCCTTCACCCGCCATTCCTGTGCGTGAGACCAACATCCCGTCTGTTGCCCCAACTTGAAGGACTTCTAGCCTGCCTGCGTTAGCAGCACATGGACAAAGTCAGGCGGGTCATTGTCATTTATTTGACCTGGCAGCATGTCAAAGAGCGTCTCTCTGATCCCGCCGCCTTGTTTTAAGTACTCAATAACTACCACTGTTTCTTGTGACCCTCCTCCTTCTCCCCCCAGCACCGACAATCGACAATTGCCACACTCCACCATCTTCTACCTATACCAGTTCCATATAACAATGTGCCGGGAATTTAGGACAATTATTTGGGCAAGCGTGCAATCTTGGTCTCGCCGACTAGGTTACCATTTAGACCTAGATTGCGTCCAAGATTGCCAAGCAATCTTGCAATCGCAATCTTGGTCTCCAACAGGTAAACTAGTCGGCGCAAGTGGGGCAAGGGAGCAAGAAATTGCAAGCAATCTTGCAATCTTGGTTTCGGCGAGCAAGTGGGGAAGGGGCAAGATGACCAAGATTGCTTGGCAATCTTGGTCGCCCCCGCCTGACCAAGATGACCGGTTCTGCAAAGTAATTCTTCTATTTTCCCGGCACAATGGACCACTACTACAAAGACGAGGACTACGACGACGTTAAACTACCACGACTACTACCACGACGACAACGACGACGACCAGCACCACGACCACGACTACGACTACGACTACGACGACTACGATACTGCTGCCGCTACTACTACCACCGCCACCACCACTGCTGCTGCTGCTCCTGCCGCTGCTGCTGCGGCCACTGCGAATGGTGCCAGTAAAAGCAACATTAAGACCACTACGACGATGATGGTCGGCGGAACTGATGTCCTGCCCGCGCTTTCGTCCCATAGCACACAAAACTGTTATCGTCATTTCTCGCTTTCGCGATCAGGAAATATTGCTGTTGCTATGAGGATTATTGCTGCTATTGGCACAGCAAAGCTGAATGAGACCTCAACACTAGCCCAACAAGCCTGCAACCAAATGAATCCAAAACCAAAACTGTAAATTCCAAGCAAACCTAAACCCAAGCCCAAAACCCAAAAACAAGATCTTGGTTGGCACACCCCACCCAGCGGGACATCTTGGTTGAAAAACCCACCCTAAACAGGAGGCCCTAAACCCTAAAAGGAGTTTCTAAAAGAAAGCCCCAAACCCCAAACTGAAAGGAGATGCTGGCTGACAAGCCCTAAATTCCGAGTCCCTAACGGCTGCGAAACCTCGGAAACTGTTGGCACAACCCCAAGCCCCGGACGGAAATGTTGCTTGACACCCTCAACCCTAACAGGAGACCCTAACCTGTGCTGGTTGGCGAACCTTATACCGTCAAAGAAAATGTTGCTTGGGAAAGCGTAAACCCTAGACGGAGATGTTGGGTGACATGCTACAAACTCTGAAGGAAGCTACTAGTTGGCAAGGCGAGGCTCTAAACGGAGATGTTAGCTAGCAATCCATGCCGTGAGGGAAGATGTTGGGTGGCAAAGCCCCTAGACGCCAAGAGGAAACCCTAAACCCTGAAGGAGATGCTACGCTGACGAAACCCAGACCGGAATCAAACATGTTGGTTGGCAAACTCAAAAGGAGGCGTTGGTTGGCAAACTACAAACGCAAAGAAAAGCTGCTGGCTGGCAAGCCCTTAGCCCCAAAAGGAAATGTTGGTTGGCAAACCCAAAACCATACACAACAGAACAAGATGCTGATTGTCACTACCCCTACCCTTACCCCTACCCCTTCCCCCTCCTGCCCCCACTACTACTCCAGCTTACCGCTCCTACTCCCAGCATCAGTAGGCTGATCGTGCAGGCCCACCATGGCAACCAAGCGGCATTTCACCCAAAATTCTGTGTCTTTGGGGCCCGAGGAGTATCTATACCTCTTGGCCTTAGAATGAGCAGAGCCATGCCAGCATCACGACCGCTCTGGAGGCTGCATTGAAACTCCCAACCTCCCCCCAACTATTTTCAGGTAGACGGGGTGCTATTAGCTTCTCCATCCGAATTTCGGCTCTCGCAGCCTTTGCCTTGGCCTCGGATTTGTGGTGTCGGTATGGTCCGTGGTAGTTGCATTCTCAGACTCTCTCTTGCCTCCACCTGCACTCGGACTTTTTCCTGGACCTTCGCATTGTTGCAGATCTCCTGCAGAATTCGCAAGGCACCGGCCAAGGCAAAAGAAGCGAGGTCCGTCGGGGCTCCTGAACTATGCGATTAGCCTCGCTCTCACCTTCAAAGGTGACCGGCGGCTTCTCCGGCTTCTCCGGCTCGTCTGCAATCATCTCGCCTCGGAGTCACGGAGGTCTCCGCCAATCTCTGCATCTCGGTGTGCTGTCTGCCAGGCGGCTCTGCTGCATTTGCGGTTGGAGGGCCACGCGGGCCACGCCGACATGCTGTGAGCCGAAGCTTGGTCGGAAGATACAATGTCAAACAAAAACTCTTCGAGCACCCTGCAAGCCAGAGTTCAAATCTTGGGAGCTTGCCGAAACTGCGTCTTGGCATCCAGAACTTTGTCTGACAAAAGTGGCACCTCCAGCTTCCGTTCCGCTGTCGTGCAAGGCTCTGCTAGTCACAAGTGGCCTTCGATAAGAACTGCCCACGCATTTCCTCTGCTATAGCGTAGAAGGTCGTGCTGCTTCACATCTGTCGCTTTATTGCCCCTTCCATTTTGGTGCCATTGCCCAGTCCTGGTGCATGTATGCCATCAAGTCTTGCATACCTCGGTGAGTCGCATGATGTCTGCACCGCCAGCTGGTTTGCGGTATGCTGATGCATTTGACTTTAGCTTGGATACGCTGATTGTTGGCCTTCAACAGCTCGGAATGACTGGTATGCCTTCCAGGTTTGCTGGCTTTGCTTCTCACAACATGGCAGATTTTCATGTGCCCTTCTCCCACCTACGCTCGTCCGAGACGATTTTGTCCTGAACGGTCTGCAGGGTCCGAGACCAAGGCTTGCACCTGCGCCGCGTGCAAGAACCCTCCACTGTTGTCTTGGCTGCTCTGGGCCGTTGGCTCGGGCAGATTGATGCTGAGATTGGACTTCCAAGGCTTCGTCGTCAAGGCCTTGACCTGGGGGAAGCTGGATGCCAGCGTCACTCCTCTCTGGGACTCTAGGTGTAGGGCCCCGAGGTCAAGCGCCATGGCTGGCGGCTCCGTCTTGTGCACTGGGGAAGGGGACGGCGAGCCCTGCCAAAATGCAACATGCGGGGTTTTTTCGCGTGGCCTCGAAAACTCGGCAGCCAAGGGCCTCAGACTCCTCCTCGAGGATCGGGAGGCTCTGCCCTGGGCCAAGACGTGGTTCTGGAGCTCGCTTGGCCTTGGCAGCTTGAAACTCAGCCCCAGGTACCCTTGCGAAGCAGGGTTCACTTTGGCCATCCGAGGCCAGCACTTCTGTATATCTTGCAATAGGAGGCAGCCTGAAGAACTGAACTTCCCGGCATCTTCGAGCTCACAGAGTTCGAGCTTACTCCCCCAAATCAGCCACTTTGGTTTTGAAGCCACTCGTTTCATTGCGTTACCGATCTCTCCATCGCACAACCTGCGGTTGTAGCCGTAACGAGCTCTGAACAAAGCTCGGAACGAAGATGGTTCCCGGAAGCCTGCCTGGCGCTATTCGGCGGCTGCGGCTCCCGCTGCTTTGGCCTGAGGGCTTGGGCTCAGGCGGTACACTGCACTGCGTGCATTGAATAGCCAGTAAATTGGGCTTGAATGGAAAGTCCTGAAGGAGCTCTATGTCTGTTTCTGTGTCCCGATACACATGCGATGCCCTCGCCTATGCATGCACTCGACCTGATCCTCCAAGTTCCTTCGAGTTGACGAGTAAGACTTAGGAAAGTAGCCGCCTATTCGAAAATGGATAGACCCCTATCTGATAGGGGTCTATATGAAAAGGCATAGACCCCTACCCCCCTGTGCCTATCCAGTAGGCCATAGACCC